TTTCAACATCTGCAATGTGTTAGAAAGCAGCTGTGTTCGTTTTGTCACCCTGGTTCCTCTCTCCAGTGCCAACCCATCGTTTTGCAGAAGGGGAAAGAGAAAAACCAGTATGGGAACACAGAGCTATTGAATGGCAAAGAAGCAGACTCAGTTTAACTCTCACGTCTCCGTCTGAGTCCCTGCCTTTTAATATCAAATGCCTTTGATTTCACATAGGATATTGGATGTGGTTCCTACATTTCAAAAAGTGACTTAAAGAGTAGTCACTGTTTAAACAGTTTAAACGGTAGTCACTACATTAAACAGTTCCCAACTGAAGAAAACAAGAGGTTTGCACTTCAGAACATCCTTACTTAGACTAAAGGAGGCACTCCACTGACTCCTTACTCCAAACTTACTTTCCATGGACTAGCATCTAGTAGAGGATGGCTATATCTACAGTACCCAAATAATAAGGCCTCAGCTTGGCCAGGCACAGCACTATCTGTCCATCAGGCTGGTGTTCCTAGTACAGCGAGTACTAGGCCTGTGCCAGTGAGTGCTCTCCCAGATTATGCCTGAGTGTGGTTTAGGAGTTGGTGTAGGAACACACCAGTTGCCAGTGGCCAGGTTAGATGTGTCTGTCCCCTTTCAGAGGGCAGGGGAAGTTTGCCATCTCTGTGTAAGCCATGTAATGCCAATCACTCCTGGGATCAGAGAACAGGTGCTGTCCCATTTTGTTTAAAGCTACAGATGCTGTCAAATTGCCCTTTCTTGCAGCATTTGGGGTCCTGATGGGTGGCAGAGCTTTTAATTAGTTTCTTCTTTGAGACTGAATGATCCAACCATGCACCTTGACACCTTCATATTCAGTGCCTCCAACCAGTAGATGGTCTGTTGTGCAGTGCCTTGGTGGAGAGAGGAGGCTCCATCACTGCTGTTCTTCTCCACCCCCAAATTACCACTAACTAGCTCAGGGCAGGCTCCTGTGTCACGTACCATAGTCATGTTCTGCCTGTGCATCTCCCCATCTGCTTGGACCGGGTCTGAATCCACCTGAGATTACTGGGATGTTACGGTCGGAGAAGATCAAGAGTACCAAATAATAAAATCAAGCAGATGGTTGAGGTTCTTTCCCTAAGAGATGAGAAATACAAAAGAAGGGGAAGAGACTGTGGTAACTATTGACAACTGAGTCATCATCATGGCTGGGCTTTGCAAATGAAGATTAGGGAAAGGGCTCTACCCACGTTTGTCACAAGCGCGCTGGTGGCTAAATAGGCCAATACGAGACAGGCATGTCCGGTTGCAAAAGGCACAGCAGAAAGACTCCTTAGGTGGTATATTCTGCAAGGCACGGTTCTTTCTGCGTTGCCTTTTCTCCTCGAGAGTGATCCTGCGTGCGTTCTCAAAGGAAGCAGCAGCGTTATAGATGGTGTGTCTCCAGACCTCCCAGTTTGAGGCCAGAGTAGACCAGTTATGGTGATCAATATGACCAAGGCTGAGATGTTGTTTCAGGGAATCCTTGTATCTTCTCTTTGGGGCTCCTCTCATGTGGCAGCCGGTGGCAAGTTCACCATAAAGCAGGATCTTGGGAGGCGGTGGTCCTTCATCCTGGAGATGTGCCCTGCCTGGTGCAGCTGAGTTCTCAGCCACATGACAACTGAGTACCAGCAGCTAATCTCAGTGAGGACTGGATCAGGCCTTAAATGTCTGCCAGCTAGACACTGCTGTGGTAATGATAGTGTTAGCCCTTTTTCTTAAGTGACGTGGATCCTGGGAGCCTTCAGCTCTCCCTTCTCCTGGCACTGGCCCCAGGGAGGGCTAGCTGGACCTTAGTTCCCATTTCCTCTGCTTCTGTTGCCATCTAGGAGAGTTTATTTTCTCAAACCCATTTTCTGTAACATGCAAATGCTATCCTGAGCCAAGGACAAACTTTCTAAGAGAGGTAAAACCTTAGTGCTTCTCATTTGAGATGGACTTGATTTCAGTTTAGTTACCTGTGAGAATTGCTCCACACTACTGCCTGGCAAGGAGAGAGAGTTTTTTCTGTGTCCCTCAATAGAAGAAGAACTGGAGCTCGCTAGCTCCTGGCTGTCTGTGCAGGACAGTCCAGCTTTGGCAAGGAGAATTACTTGGAGCTGAGGAGGAGCGGGATCCATTTTGAATCCCGTGTGGGGGATGCCTGTTGAGTGTGTGTTGCTCACAGGAGACTGCACCAGGGCTTACACGAGAATATGGAGGGCTTTGGGCAGTAAGCCAAGCCAAGCTGGGTTGTGTGAAACGCAAATAGAAAATAGCAATTCGCAATGCCTCATAACTCAGTCAAACCTGTAAAGGGCTTCACAGGGCCAGGGAAAGGTTAACCCTTTGACATCATCCCTGCCGCATCTCACCTCCTTAGCAAAACCACAGAGCCCTAAGAGCCCTTCAGAGACATTTACAGGGATCTTCGGTGACAGGAAGCATTAGGTGTAACTTTGCTGATTGTCAAGGCTCACATTTGCAAGCTTTTATTTCATAGATGTTAAAATTAGAAGGCAGTGTTGTGATCCTCTCATCTGGCCGTAACAGTTTCTCTACTGAGCCTAATAATGTGTGTGTCAGTTCTCTTACATATTTTAGAAAAGTCTTCACTAAGTGACAGAAACTTATGTCTCAGTCAGGAGTTGATTATGTCTCCTGAAACACCCCTATTCGTTTCTGGCTTTGTTTGGTACTGCATATTCAGCAGTTGACATAAGTACCAGGTGGGTATATCTCTGTTAAAAAGGGAAGTTTTGGTCTGTGGTTGGCTGTGTATTACTTCTCTGACTTTTCTGGAAAGAAGCTTCTAATTGTCACTACAGGGTTACTGAAAAGCTGAAGTGAGACCTGTGCACTGCAGTACCAGGTTGGGTTCTTTGGTGTGGGAGGTGTGGGTGGCATCCCTGTGGAATGTAGAGCAGTGACATGTTGGCAGTGTGCTGTTGCTGCTGCTGTGCCTTCAGAGCTGAGCTAATACTTGTAGGTTGCCACCATGGTGTGTGTCAAAGTTGAATTAAATTAGGATTGCCCTACCTAAAATGTTTGTTTCATGTAAGAAATGTTAATTCTAAATGCTTGTCTAGAATAGCACCAATGTAACTGGCTGAATTAGCAACCAAAGGGCAAAGCATGGCAGAAATGTAAGGCTGTAAAACAAGTCAGCTGATAGGGATTGGGAGCAGGCTCTGCCTCCATTAGGTCAGTTATAAACCATCATCAGCTATTTTTCTATTAAAGAAGAGGTCTAAGTTAATGAATTGATGTGTGTGGGAATTAATGCTGGATGAGTCCCCTGTGGCTTTTGTGATGAGGGTCAAATAAAATATTAATGAAATTAAAACAAACAATCCCCTGCTCTTCCTAAGTGCCTTCCGGATGGGTTTCTCTAAGCATTGGTCGGGGAAGATGTGGAGCCCCAGGAGAGACAGGCCGGTGTCATTATTCCCTTTTCATGGGCAGGGAGATGAGGGTGGTGGAAGACAGTGACCCTGGGGCCTCACAGGCCAGCAGCAGGGTTGCACAGGAGGTCTGCTGTCTGGTGCTTTTGCTCTGATCTCTCCAAAACCCCTGAGGTTTCAGCTCCTGTCTCAGAGAAATGGAAGTCCATCCAGATTGCTCCTGCACTGCTCGGCTGGAAGCTGAACTTTCCAAGTCTAAGACAGCCTTTGGGAGTCCCAAATCTGTAGTCTTCTTATTCACAAACTTCTCTGTGCCTCCAGATCAGAGACCATAACCCAGTAGATGTGGCTCTTTTCTCCTGATGCCTTATCCACATGACACATTCGCTTGTCTTGTGAATTGTCCATTCTAAAGTCTGAGAATAGGAACTCAAATGGCAGGCTGGGGAAGGATAAAGTCTTTTTGGTTACATCTGTGCAGTGCAGTGCAGAAGATCTCAGGCATGATGAAGTCAAGGAAACTTGCTTCAGGAGCAGCATCCCTGAATCATTTCAGTCCAGTTCCCAGGCTAACACAATCATGGTGCTTTCATACTCTAAAGTAGGAACTGTGTGGTATAAGAGGGTGTTAAATATATATGGTGCTTTTGGACATGGTACAAAGCTGCAAATTGGTTCAGAAATCTTCCCGCTGCTGCAAAATGTAAGGATATGATGTACTCTGCATCTCTGGGCATGATTCTATTACACTGAGAAACATCCAGTGTATGGAGAAGGAGACCTTGGCAGGCACTCCAGGCTAAACAGAGACAGTTCTGTTTGCATCATGCAAAATCAAAGCCAAATGCATTTTCTTGCACCTGTTTGTGTACCTTGGGCATGGACCAGCCTAAGCAAGACTTCAGCAAAGGCCACTGGGGGCCCATGACACAGGGCTGGCGAATGACAGCACATGGCGAGGTAACTTACTGTGCTGGCAAGTGCAATGGGGGACTTAGTTTGTCATGAGGAACATTTTAAAGCACTTTCCTGTTATTTTTTCTAAGGAAGTGAAAATGCTAAAATTATTTCAGAAGACAGCAAAAATCTTGATAACCATTCCTCCGTGTTACCTCCAAAGCATTATTGATGGGCCCTGAATCATAGAATCAGAGAACCACAGAATGGTTTGGGTTGAAAGGGACCTTAAAGATCACCTAGTTCCAACCCCTTTGCNCACAGCTCCATCTGGCCTGGCTTTGAACAGTTCCAGGGTTGGGGCATCTACAGCTTCTCAGCACAACCTGTTCCAGTGCCTCACCACCCTCACAGAATGGTTTGGGTTGAAAGGGACCTTAAAGATCACCTAGTTCCAACCCCTTTGCCATGGGCAGGGACACCTTCCATGGACCAGGTTGCTCACAGCTCCATCTGGCCTGGCTTTGAACAGTTCCAGGGTTGGGGCATCTACAGCTTCTCAGCACAACCTGTTCCAGTGCCTCACCACCCTCACAGTAAAGAGTTTCCTCCTCAGATCTAATCTAAACCTGCCTTCTCTCAGTTTGAAGTCATTAAAAAGGAATACCTCTCATTGTGTGGGTGTCACTCCCAGAAACTGGAACTCAGGTATGGCAGTGGGCAAATCTTTTTCCCCACTGATGGAAAAGTTTATTGAGTTCTTGGTAAACATCCTTGCGTCTTTAAATAAGGAAACAATAATAATTTTGTCATATTTCTGTAGCAAACCACAAAAATATGTTCTACAGTCCACTCAGTCTTTCTCCGCTCTCTTGTGCTTGTCTGCCTTTCAGGATTCGTCAGGATCTTTTTGTGTGACTGGTGCAAGCCTCCCTTCCAGAAGAACTGCCCATCCCTGTCTCCTTGGGAACAGCCGAAGGGGGTGCGGAGTGACAAAAATTTATGTTTTCATCAAGCCGGACCAAGGAGAATGGGGGTCCCGCACCCAAAAGAATGAAGACACGACAGAACAAGGACTCAGTACGTGAGATAGGAGAGGGGGGTGGGACGTGAGAGCCAAGCTGGACCTGTGGGTTGGGACTGAGACTCCCAGCAAGCTAGCGGGCATGAGTTTGGCACAGTGGAGTGCCAGGGGTTCAGGGGCTTTGGGAGGCTGGGGACGAGGCAGGAGTGGAGGGAGATGCCATGCAGGACTGATACAGTGATCCTTCCCTTAGATGTCAATGCGGAGTGGACGGAAGAAAGAGACTCCAGGGCCCCGAGAGGAACTCAGGTCACGGGGTCGAGCTTCCCCCGGGGGCGTCAGCACCTCCAGCAGTGATGGCAAGGCTGAGAAATCCCGACAAGCGACAAAGGTATAAGCTAGCATGCAGGTGTGGTGTGGCCAAGGACTGCCCAGACTAGGTAGGATCCATTTGAGGATCCAGGAACACAGACCAGAAGGGATCCACCAAGGAACCCATGCTGGATTAGCTCCCTAAAACGAGCAGGATCCCTCTGCTCTTATCCTCACCATCTTGCCCTTCCTGCCATCTCCTAAGAACTGGTCCTTGGTCCCACCATCCCCTTTTAGTGCTAATTTTTGCCATATCCTGGCTCCTTGTTGCTCTGCTAGTGTTATCAACACACATGCCATGGTGGCTGTGTCTCACCTGCTGCATTCTGTGAAGGTGTGGCAGGTTGGGAAATTGCCCCATGACCCTCCCATCTCCCTGTTCTCCTTCTCTTCCTTGCAGAAGGGCCGAGTGGAGGAATCCTGCACCCCCAAGGGCAACAAGCAGGGCCGAACAGAAGAGATCTCAGAGAGTGAAGGGGAGGACACTAACGCTCCCAAAAAAACCAAAACCGAGGTGAGTTCTCACTGCTGTGATTGCTGGCATGCCCCAAGTCCAGGGCAAAGGAATCTCCTGTTTTCCTACCTGTGCTGCTCACGCCTGTCCAGCTTGAGGTTCCCACTGCTTGGGATCCCCAGCACCTTGTTTTGCACTGCAGCTCTTGCAATCTAAATGGCATCTGTCTGGCTACAAAAAATGCCACCAGGAGAGACAACTGAGGAGACAGAGGCTCTCTGTCTGTTTTGCCTTGTCTGCAGGGGACTGCTGTGCTCTTGGAGCTGGGCACATGCCCTGCCTTTCCCAGGTTAGTGGCAAGAGCCTGGCTCCATGCGCAGCTGCTCGTTGGGTTAGTCAGCCTCTTCCGATCCCCTAGCGCAGTGCGAAATGGAGGTGCTTAAGTTGTGATGGGTTCCAGGTGACAGTCGTGCAAAACCTGCTCATGCACACACAGAGTTGTGACAGGACTTTTCCGGAAGCCAACAGCATCAGCCTGGATTGGTAGTTGGATGGTTGGAAGAAGACTCAGCTCTTGCGCTTCTCCATTCCTGTTCTGGGAACTGGCCTTAGAGGCTGCAGACACTGGGATATTTGCTCACATTATGAGGTCATTGTAGTTAAACCACTGTGGTTACAACTTTGTAATTTCTCCACGTGAGCACTCCATTCAGCTCAACAGTGATATTTTTTCAGGTTAGCCTCTCTTGTAAGCCCCGGCTCAAGAGTGGCACTTGTTAATTACCCAGGATGACTGCTTAATCACCAGTGCACATTACCTGAGGTGAGAGTGGTGGGGAGGAGCAGGGATTGGGAAGCACAGGGGTAACTCCTGGAGGTAAGGAGTGGGACAGTGAGAGGGGTCTGGAGGGGATCTGATCTCCTCGACCAGGGAGAGCTCTGCAGGGGCAAGAAGAGTGAGTCTGAGTCTGGGGTCTGTGCTGGGACCACTGTGGTGTGTGCTGTTCTGTGCCACCTGGTGATATCATGCTCTGGCCAACAGCCCACCGCTGGTAGTGGTGGTGCAAGGACCGCTCATATCTGTTCACTCTCGACCTTTCCTGTAGCAGTTCCCTGCCCTCCTTTGCTGCCCCTTTACACAAGGTACTTCCTTCCCGAACATGGGATGCTCATGAAGGATGTGAGAGCACTAGAGGGGAGGCAGGAGGACATGTTATTTATTCCTTGCCAGACGATGTCTCCTTTCCTCTGTGGGCTTTTCTAGTGCTGGGGCTGGCAAGGAAGGGCTGGAAAGCAAGTTTTCTGGGAACTTGAAATGTGTTAGGTGTGGTCTGGGAGGCTTCCTAATGTGTCTTTTCTCCTCCTTCCTACTTCAGGAGTTGCCCTGCCCTCCATCCCCATCTGATGTTGACAGCCTTGATGGCCACAGCTTCAACGATGAGATGAGCAGTGACCCACGGGACATTGACCAGGATAACAGGAGCACCTCTCCCAGTGTCTACAGCCCTGGGAGTGTGGAGAATGACTCCGACTCCTCCTCTGTGCTGTCCCAGGGGCCGTCTCACTCCTACCACCACCCTCCGCTCTTCCCCCAGAGCCCACCGGTAGCTCCCCCTCCCGACAGCCTGGCCCGTCCACCAGAGCCCAGCTTTGGGCTCCCAGGCGAGGTGCACCCCCAAGGACCCCCTGCAGGAAGTTATCATTCACAGCTGGAGGGCCAAGCCTCCCGCATTTTCCAGGCTCAAGCCCCACAGACACCCGCCTCCTCCTCCTCCTCCTCTGCTGTTGCTGCCCCTTCTGCTCCCCCTTCCTCTTCATCCTCTTCCTCCTCTTCTTCCTCCTCCTCTTCCCACACTCCCCTTTACCCTTCAACCAATGTGGTCCAGGTTGGGACCAAAATTGCCAGTGGAGTGGGGGGGCTCCCAGCACCAGGGGGTCGCGAGCAGACCCTCAGCGCCAAGCACAATCCACCACCCACCACCCCAATCTCGCTGGCGTCAGTAGGAGGGGGGCTCCCCCCTCAAAAGACGCCCCCAGCCAACCCTCCAGCTGCCCCCCCAGCTTCAGCCCCTTCCTTCCCTCACGTCTCTGCCAACCTGCCTCCTCCCCCAGCCCTGCGCCCCCTCAACAACACAGTGGCTGCCTCCAGCTCTCCGGGGATGGTGGGTCAGGGCCTGAGTGGCCACCTCCCCTCGCCCCACGGCATGGGGCAGGACAAGGCACCAGCCCTGGCCCCCTCCCGCTACCCCTATGCCCCACCACCTCTACCACCCTCCAGCTCCTCAGCTCAGTACCCCCAGCCCTCCCCGGGCCAGCCCCTGCCCAGTTACACCGCTTCCTACGGGCACTCCTTTCCCCCACCCAGTGGCCTCTCTGTCTCCAGCCAGCCCCCCAAGTACACCCAGCCCTCCCTGCCCTCGCAGCCCGTCTGGAGCCAGGGGCCACCCCCTTACAGCCGGCCCTTGGGCAATGCTGGCTCCCACCCTGCTGCCCCCTTCCCCGGCCAGTCCCCCCATCACCAGCAGCCGCCCCAGCAGCACCACCACAGCCATGGGAGCAGCGGGGGTGTCTCCCCAGCAGCTGCAGCTCCTCCCCAGCCCCCTGGCTACCCCCATGGCCTGGAGTCTAACAGCCATCACCCTTCCCATCCCACCTACGGGCTGCGCCTCTACCCTCCCCACAGCCAGGCTGCCTACAGCCAGGCTCCCTCGGCCACCGCAGCCACAGCCCCCTCTTCCTCCTCCTCATCCTCCTCCTCTTCTTCTTCCTCATCCTCCTCTGCC